CCCAAGACACTGGCTGTCACACTGATTTAGCTGCAAGAATGCACTTGTCCAGGCTGACGTGAAACCTTCCCTGTAGCAAAGGTGAATTATTTTTAATAATCTTCTATGTAAACATTTTATTATTACCTTCTAGTTTTAATTTATTTTACAGATTATTGTTACACGTGATTTTATGCTCTTTTAAACATTTATAAATGTGCTGCTTCTTTGTTTTTACATAGCCAGCCAGAATGGAGTTCACAGCTGCAGTGTGTCTGGTGACCCACGGGGACCATGATGGAAATTCATCTTCCAGAAAGTCCCAGAGCATCCACACCCCCTGAAAAGACCAAGATGTAAGGTGTCTGCTGTTGATTCCAGCTTCCACCTCAGTGACAGTGCAAGCTCAGTGAACTGTTCAAGGTAAAAAAAAATTAAAACATTTCAGAATTTTTAAGATATTAACAATTAAAAAAGTATGTGATTACATCATGACGGAGGCTACTGATTCTGCCCCTGTGACACTTGGTGGTGACGTGTGAGCTGATTCACCTGGAAAATAACTTTTACATTAAATAATTTGTTTTTGCTATCAAAAGTAAATTAACTAATAACCTGCATTATTGCAGGACACTCAGCAAAATATGGACTCTACACCATGAGGCAGGCACACGTTAATATTCTATAAGAGCACATAAGGTGAGCAACACCACATATTGTACACTGTCCTGAATTTGTTTTCTTTCTGCATCTCATTAGCCTGGCTGATCACCTGATAACCCCTGTCATCTGGTTATGACAGCATGAGGATGTCCTCACACACCTGTAACCTATCAGCTCATCTGGCAGAATAGAGAGAGAAGAGACAACACCACATCTCCTGTTCCTGGAAAGCCTTCAGCCATCCTTCGATGACTGAGAACCTCCATCAGCTCTGTCTCCTGTCTGCCTACAATTATTATAATAAATATTGTGTGACAAGTTTTTTGTGCTGTCAAATATCTCATTTAGATTCCAGTTTTGATATTTTAATGGATATTTATAAATTACATTGATTATCACATTTTTGTTGCATGTTTAACTAGCTATTGTGATTAATTAAACTAGCACCTCACTGTTAAAAGCTCGTTTTAATTTCAAGCATGTTTAAGTATTTATGGACATGAACAAAAACAGGAAATATATAAATTGAGATTTATTTAATTAATATAACAAATAAGGGGGAAAGAGTCATTGAAAGGCACATTCTTCTGGAAGCTACTGATCCTGACGACACCAGCAGAGGAGACCACCTGCAGACACCAGAGGACCTAGAACCGAGAGAGCAGCTGTTATTAGTAAATAAATAAAGAAATCAGGGCAGTTTTAGTGAGCTGAACACATTACAGAATAATTTTCTCATGGGGTATTTTCATAACTTTATATGCAGCAGACTGTAACTTGAGCCCAAGGCTACCGGAGAGCTGCTATCCAGCATGCTTCAGTGGATTTTCCTGCTTTAACAGGTTAGATTAGCTGTTAAGCAGCTCAGCTATTTGTTGCTGATTAAAACCAGGTGTGCTGAAGCAGATAAACCTCTAAAACATGCTGAATACTAGCTTTTTAGGGCCGTGGAGACAAACCCTGCAGCTAATCCAATGCTATGGCTAACGGCTACTTACCTTTCAGAGGTGATTCTGTTGGGTCGGTTCTGGGAGTTTCAGGCAACTCACAAGCTCAAAACAATAAGACTCAGGTCCGCTTGTCTCCTCCAAATAGACTTGGTCCCTTTCTTCTCGAGTGTCTGTGTAAGGAGGGGGAGAAACGTCCTCCACTTCTAATAACTGCTCAGAGCTAAGGGAGCTAGCTTCGTCTAGTTAGCCATTGTCTTCGTCACTGCCGCGGCTCCGCCCTCTCGGTCCTCCAGGCAACGCCTACTAATGTTGCATTTTTTTAAATTGATACGTGGGTGGAGAAGGACTCCGAGGCTCAATTGACCCGCTCTTTAAAGGCCTTTGCAGGTGTTTTGAGTAAATCAGCTGATTAGAGTGGCAGCAGGTGTCTTCTATATTCAGCCTTTTCAGAATATTCTAATTTTTTGAGATACCAAATTTGGAGTTTTCATTAGTTGTCACTTATGAATATCAAATTTAAATGTAATGAACATTGGAAATACATTTGTCTGTGTGCATTGCATGAATATAATGTACAAGTTTCACGTTTTGAATGGAATTACTGAAATATTTTCAACCTTTTGATGATATTCTAATTTACTGGCCAGCACCTGTACATGAGATTTTAATCTCATGGGTTTTTTCTGGTTAAATAAAGGTTGCATAAATCAAAATGTGAAAAATAACAAAAATGGTGAAAAAACTTAAAAAAACATTCGATTTTTTGTCTTATGCAATGCAATCTGAAAAAACTTTGAAATTATTTTTGTATGGCTTCCTCATGTACATTCTAAGCCCAACCTATGTGCCCCTCAGATCTGCCGTGGTGGGTCTACATGACACAGAAAGCTCTAACAGACTGTGTTCTCTGCGTGCTTAGGGTCAGCACACTACACCACTGGGAGGTTGGGGCAGATTGTCAGCTGCACAGCTTGCCTCACTTTATCACTCCAGCTCTTTGTTGTAGCCCCCCCACCCACCCACACACACACACACACACACACGGGCAGACCAAGAGGCTGACAGTATAGAGCACAGAGTGATCAAGCAATGCAATCAAATAGTTTCCTCATCCTCATTTGTCCAGAGACTGTTGATGGGATCAATAGGGCTGCTTTGTAAGCTGTCCTGTGTGTGCATCTTCTTAAGCTCCGATGTGCTCACTGATCCTACAGCAGAGTGGGGTTGTGGACTGTAAACAAGTTAGGTGGGAAAGGCCTTTTCAGCATCCTCTCACCACTAGAGGCCACTGTTGATCTTCTTATAAAATTCAAGAAGCTCCACGACACTGCCGAATGTGGATTATGTTGCACAAGATGTGACAGATTTTGTTTTTTCTTTAGTCTTTTCATAAATTTTAGTCACTTTTGCATTGACAGTATAACTCGTGTGGGTGTTTACTGGCCTTTCTTTTAATTTAATTTTTTTAAAATTAAATCTGATAGAAAACTATTTGAACCAACACTTAGCATACTGGATATTTATCATAAATAAAGATTAATACTTATTTTGTTTACATTTTGGCTTTTGATCCATGGAAAGGGGGAAATATATTACTGACTGCAATTTCCCCACTGAGGGACTGATAAAGGTATCCTTATTACTTTTATGATTTACCGATAAATTGTAAGTAATTATATGAGCCAAAGGGAGATTATGTGTTTCAAACAAGCAGATTAGCCTTTTACATGTGTAAAAATACACAGGCTGTGTTTTAAAGGTGTATTAAAAAGAAAATGGTATAGGATTATATTTGTTTTTGCTTTAACATGTTATAAAAACTGTGTTTGAAGTTATTTGAGAACCTAAGTGATGAGTTATGCCGTACTGCAAAGATGTTGTTCTACCTGTGTGATACATGTAAGTAACCACTGAGTTTTTGCCTACTGGACACATTCACACAGATTTGCATGTATGTGCAGTCGGGGTCTGTTAGTCAGAGCAGCTGTCTTCAGACTTTTTCGTTCCCTCGGCACACCGTGGGGCAGTCCAAAACCTCGGTGCACAAATCTGTGCAAAATCAACACAGTCTCTGTCAACTTAGTTGACACTTGCCAGAATTTGTGTTAACCTGCCTAATTTAGTGGTCAATTTCTCAGGAAAGGGTAAATTTCAGCTTTTATGTCAAACATTGCCCCATTTTGCCTGATGATTTGTTGATTGTATCTTCAGAAAAAAAAGCCTGTCTGACTATTCTTTACTTTTTTTTCTTAGAACAGAGACAAAAGGTCTGCGAGTGTTTGATTTTTCCCCTGTTCTGTATTATTCTCAGAAATTTAAATAACCTCACCTGATGTTTTTGTTCCAAATAGGAAATGCCTTTTCCTTGTCTCAGATTTTTAATATTTGGTTTTCAAGTACGTCTTCTGATATTTAACATTAGCAAACCTCAGCTCACACACTGACTAAGGCTGTAGACCTGTACCTGTTCAGCTGAAGGGACAAAGAGGAATTCCTACTATTCGGCTGCAGCATGAAATTGAATTATTTTAGAAAATTTGTGAAAATATTTTAACAAGGCAAAGAAAAATCCTCTCATCTACAATTTATCTAATTTTTGGGTTTGACTTGACATACCATTTATAAACCACTAAATCAAATCAGAAGAACAAGTCAAGTTAAAAGCAGGGATGCAACGATACCACTTATTTCTAAACCGATTCGATACCGATACTTGGATCTGAGTACTCGCAGATACCGATACTTCTACCACACAAAAAATTGCAATGAATTGAAATACAGCTTTTTTCTTCTTCTCTGCTTTCAATAGGAAATGACTGTGAGGTAGATAAAAAATAAAATACATTTATAGAAATGATCATAAAACTAAAAAATAGGTGAACAGAATTGACAAGTGACAGTGAAGCCCCTTTCAGGCAACTGCACTGGTACCGATATCAGTATCGGTGCATCCCTACTTAAAAGTGAACATTTCAAACCTCTACAAGAGGACAAAGTAGCTTTTAACCAATGAAAATCCCTCTTTTAGGGAACATTTGTAATCACAGGACCCATTTGCTGCCAAAGCTAGGAATGGCATTAATGTAGACAGGACGTCTCCACAATGGCTGATTACTTCCTCAAAAGGTCTGAAGACACACTCGGTGACCACAGCACTTGGCTGGTGTTTGCTGCTGATATCCTTGAGGCGTTGTTTTGATAAACCACTGCAAAGATGCCATCTGTCTGAATGAAATGACCTTGCAGCAACAGAGTTAAACCCAGCAGGCGAGAGACACGATGAGGACATTTTACTTGACAAAAACATCTCAATTGTTCCATTTATTACATTATTTCATCAGTTTATTGTGTTAACTCGCTGATTCTCTTATGTACCTAAAAAGTTTGCTTTTTTCTTCTCGTTCACAGGGCTCCCTGCCCCCCTTGTCCCCCTTTTCTCTTCTCAAGGCTGTAAATAAGCTCCGGTTCTGCAGACGCTTGAGGAACCCTCCCGTTCCCACTTTTTCCTGCCACTGCTATCCTTTCCGAGTCCCCTGCTAACTCCACTGCTTTGCTGTCGAAGGGGTCAGAGGAGACGCTCAGATGATCCATTGGGCTACTCCGAACCACATTGTTCACACTGTCCCGGACGGGGAAGAGTAACTAGCAAGCTTGAGAGAACCCTTGGAGGGTGCTGCGAGCACCCTGTGAGGCCTGCCCACGAAGCCTGGCAGGAAGCTTGGCTTGCCCCTTTACTCCTTTAGCCCTTGAGATGCCCTCTCTTCCAAACGATGGAGGTGAGTCTGACACTTTCAGTCTCCTCAGCACTGATTGGGGAGGTTTACCTGTCCTTTAGCAATACAGTGTGACATATTTAACATTGGCACACACACAAACTAACACACATAATAATTTAAGTACCGTGATGTATGGATCTCCACCAGGCAAGACGAATAATCCACTTACGTTCTTCCACTATAAACAACCCCCCCTAAATTCCCTGAAGTAATAAGGAAAATGCATTAGACTTCTGTTCCTCTCTCGTTCTGGGGCGCAAGCTGTGACTGCATCTTCCAGCCCTGTTGTGTACTCTCTCTCCTCCAGAGGATCAAGGAGCGTGTCCCATGAACGTCCCATCTGTGGGCTCCTACCCGAGCGGCGGGAAGAAGAAGGTTCGCTCCAAAAAGAAGAAAGGCACCATCACTGCCAACGTTGCTGGCACCAAATATGAGATAGGTATTGTACTTCGACTCCAAAAAGATTATAGAGCTCTTTGTGTCACGATGACAACAAAAGTAATTAAAACTGCTGTGTAAGAGACACCACTGAGGGATAAAATCTGTGCAGGAGCTCAAAATGGCAGACTGGCAAGCCGTCCTATATTTGTAAATATAAAGTCTGGCCATGACCCACACACAGAGCTCGGTTGTGTGGTGGAATCTACGATTATCTTTCAAACTGTCCATCTATTATTATTTATTCCACCTTCCTCAGGATCCACTGATTTCCCTCTTTCCTATTCACTCTCTCTCTTTCAGTTGTCTATTTTTTGCTCATTTGAAATATGTTTTTAACCATTTTCTAAATTCTTTTTTATATTTTTACATTTTATGTTTTTGTGAAGCTCCTCGTGATTTTTATCTTGCGAGGCGCTATAGAAATGATATTTTCTTCTTCTTCAAATAATTTTCATTCGTTTATCCGGGGTCGGGTAGCGAGGGTAGTCGCCCAAGCAGAGAGACTCACACTTCCCTCTCCCCAATCACTTTGGCCAGCTTCTCCGGGGGAATCCTAAGGCGTTCCTTGGCCAGGCGAGAGATATGGTCCCTCCAGTGAGTCCTGGGTCTTCCTTTGGGTCTTCTCCCGGTTGGACGTGTCCAGGAGTCATCCCAACCTGCCACCCTGTGGAGAACACTCAGTCCGGCTGCCTGTATCCATGATCTCATTCTTTCGATCACTACCCAAAGCTCGTGACCATAGCTGAAGGTTGAAACGTTGATTGACTAGTAAATCAAGAATTTCGTCTTCTGGCTCAGTTCTCACTTCACCACGACAAACCAGTACAACTCCCCATCACTGCAGACGCAGCACCAATCCGCCTGTCGATCTTGCGCTCCATCTTTAACTCACTCGTGAACAAGACCCTAAGACTCTTAAACTCCTCCACTTGGGGCAGGACCTCACCTCGGTGAGTCATATGAGGTATGAGGGTTGCTGTAAAGACTCTTGACACCAGTCACCAGCAACCTGCTGGGTTCTTATGTAGGAAACTTTTTACTGATTGGTTTAATGAACTGAACTGTATTGGAATGTTTACTGCGTGAAGTGTCTTGAGACGGCTCTTGTTGTGATTTGGCGCTTTATAAATAAACTGAATTGAATCCCTGACCTGGAGAAGACATTCTACCCTTTTCTGATTTCAAATGGTCTTGGCACGTAATTTGACCGCAGTAGAACTCATCAGGGCAACAACAACGCTACAGAAATCTGTCAACAGGCCAGTACGCCATACACGTCAACAAAAAAGATGCAAATAAAAAATATTTTAAATTCAACACTCAAGTACATCTACAGTATGTGCTTGTCTAACAAAAAAGCCCAAGTCTAAATCGTCCAAATTTGATGTTAAAAACATTTTAAATGAGCGCCATTATGGAGCCAATGCCTTTTTGTAGTTTTCTCCGTTGCAGTTCTGGTGCTAAGCTCACACACCATTTCTCTACAAATATAGCGCGCTGTGATTGGCCCGGCCTAAAATTGTTCAGGCCAATGGTAGATCTGCTAAGGTACAGTATGTGGCTAGACCGACCTGCTGAGCAAAGTATGTTGCTACTGCTAATGATAGCTAAAGATAGTAGTTAGGCTACTAAAATAGATAATTTATTATTAAAATCTAAAGATTTGTTGCTGTAATAACAGCATGAGATTAAGCTTGCTCTTTTAATTCAACATGAACAAAAACAATCCTTTCTTTCACATGTAAAGAGAAATGATTCAAAAGCAGCTTGACATTTAAATGTACAGCCTAAATAAAAATGTAGGTGTTCTTATTAACAGGAAGATTCAGCAGAAAGGCAAATTTTCTGATTACTTCAGCTACATTGTGCAAAATTCTAATAATTTGACATTTGTGATTTTCTGTTTTGATTTCCCTGAGTGAGCAGTTTTAGAAACGGCTCCTGGTGTGTCGTACAGAGACCCACAAAAACACCACAAATCTAATTCAGATGGTGCCACAACAATACAATCTAATTAGCTGTGAGGGATTCCTTGAAAAAGGTGTTTTTTTTAGTGTCTTAAATTAAACCTAAACTAATTCAGTCCAGCTAAATAGTTCACACAGCTGAGCTTTACACACACGCATAAATCTTTGGTGCGGTCATGTAGCATGGCGGTGCTTTTTCTGTCTTTTTTTCTTCTCTTTTCTTTGAGATTGACTAAAAGAGCATTGTAAGCACTCCTCACAAGTTCAATATATTGTGTGGCAGCAGAGTTCTCAGGGGTGAACTACAACCTATGAAACTAAGGAGTCAGCAGCAGCGAGTAGAAGTTGTAGGCAGTCGGGATCCTGACGGTAGATGGAAGTCCAGCTGTGAGTCAGTAAGCTAGCTGTGACGAGACCCTCACAGTGGCCATCCAGAGAGCAGTTCAAGTCTATTTTGAGGGAAAATGAACACCACAGGCCAGCTGGATAGCTTGTTTTTGCACACGTTTTTTATTTTTTTGTTTTTTAGAATCAATACTATTACAGGTAAAGTTTCACAATCTGGGAAAATTGCATTGGAAATCTGCTTTTCAACCACTGAGGAGGGAGTTTAAACTCTTGCACTTAAAGAGCTCGTTTTCTAGGACAAACAAGAATGGATCAATTACAGCGCCGTTGTTCTGACGGACCTTACTGTTAACTGTGAACATATGTCTGCTTTGATGTAAATCCTCCCTGTTCCAGTTAGTAAAACACTGTTAGTCTCTGCTGACATTAACAGATGGATGAGTCACACCAGAAGCATATTTCTCCTATTCAAAGTGCCATCATGCAACATTAGGCAGGCCTTCTCCAGGTTTGTGGACGCTTTCAAGAAATTAATTAATACTTTGTTTTGTTAGGGCATATGAATTTTTCATTAACCCTTGAATAATGAATTCTTGTTGGATTAATGTCCAAATGGGCTGCCACCTATCTCTCATCCTATGGGCTTTCCGGTGGGATCTGAATGCATTACAGTACATTAATTTATCTTTTTCGAGACAGGCATTACGATTAGCTTCGTTGCAATCATTCTGTAGACTTTTTGATGTATAAGCTCCCAGATTTATATCTCCTAATAAATGTAAAACTATTTAAGCCTAGAAAAATGTTTGTGTGAAATATTGGGTTAGGGTTCAGAATTATAGGTCCAAGTTATGTCATATTTACTATTTAGCAACTACAACATTATCGTGATTATTACTTGTAGGCTTGGGCGGTATCCAAATTTTAATATCATTCAACGTCCTCCACATTTTCCCACGTTGTACGGTGTCACCAGGACTAATTTTAAATTGTAAGCTGTTGGCTTCACTGTTCAGAAACTGTATAACAAATGCTATTACTAAAAGGATAACAATATAACACACATAATGCAATTTGCTGGGTTCCTTATATAGGGAACATTTTTTCTGATTGGCTTAATGAACTGACCTGTATTGGAATGTTTATTAAGTGAAGTGCCTTGAGATGACTCTTGTCGTGATTTGGCGCTATATAAATAAAATAGAATAGAATTGAATTGAATAATATTAACAACTTAAAAAAATGCAGCTAAAAAAGAGATTTGTCACCTGAAAAACCAGCATGTTTACCTCTTCTGGCTTCAACCTAGGACGTTGTGGAACGACTGCTGAAAACCTGCTTCGATAAGCTTGTGACTCAGACACACAGGTACCTTGTGGCCTGTATTTGATATATGTAGTAGTATATATAGTATAGTATACTTTAGGGCCTGTATCTTTTGTGGTCATCTTTTGTCAGCACAAATGACCTCATCAGTTTTACCGGCTCTCTTTTGTTGTTTGCTTCAAACTCAAAATACTCCCAAACTGCAAAATACTCCCAAACTGCAGAAGTTGTGCTCTTTCTAGACACTAATGGGCCATTCCCATCTGTACCGGGTCGGCCCGGGCCGGGTAGCGTAGGTTGTTTACATATCTGGGTGGCCTGGTATTTTTCCGGGCCAACCAAGGCTCATTCTCAGCCCTCTTCTTGAGGGGGTCTGCTTCAGGCCGACCAGGGCCAACACACCCACTGCTGACAGGAAATTCACACCTTCCATTAGAGCAAGCCTCTGATTGGTGGGTAGAATCAGCCCACATGGGCTTAAGGCAAGGATGTGTGGAATCAACCGGGCCAGGCTGGGGCCGACTGGGGCTACCCGGCCCGGGCCGACCCGGTACAGATGGGAATGGCCCACAAGTCACTTGGTGCACGAGCTGCCATTTTCAAGTGATGGCATCACGTTCATAAACTTTATGGAACGTCTCCAAATGTTGGATAAAACATACGTTTTATACATGAAATTACTTGAAATTATCTTTTATTTAATTATTTTTTATTTTTGAAATTCTTGTCTCCTACATGCACAGCTTTTTTTTCATGGCGGTATTAAAACTGACACGTTGCTATTTTTTAACACTGGCTGTATACGGTCTTACTGTAAATGCCACCTTAGCCTAATGGCAAAGGTTTTATAAGGTGTACTTAAACAATGCATTTTTTATTTGAGACTGAAGCTTATTCTGTTATTTTCCTCCTCCACAAGAAACATGGGGTGTGTTTTTCTCAGTTCGTATAGTTATCAGAGAGATGGACTTCATCAAAGCGCGGGATGACGATGAGACTGCCAACCTCATCTGGAACGACTCTGCCGTGCAGCACGAGAAAATCGCCGAGCTCAGGAACTATCAGGTATGCAGAAGAGGCTAACATGAAAAGTTTAGCACACCTTGTTTGGGCTCACAGTGGCCTCAAGGTCAGAAAGGGGAGCTCATGTGCTCTCAGGAAGTGTTAAGTCTAATGAAAACATTGACTTTAACTTGTTCCAGGAAAGGAGATCAATGCCCAGTGATCAAAGAGTGAAAAACAAATGGATTCATGAATGAAAATGATACCAGAATAAATGTCTTATTTTTTAGAAGAAAATGACATAAACCCCAATTTAGGAGTTTTATAAATATTTTATTTTGGATTTGAAAAAAAAAACAGCACCACTTTTTTAAAAATGAATTTAGTCAAGGAAATCTTTAAAGGAGTCATCACCATAGGTCATCACCTGAAATGTTCACTTTTTTACTTGAAAAAGTATATAATGGCTTCCTAATTATTTTTCACTGGCCGAAAAGTCGATTTTAAATGATAAATGACCCGCACTTGTATAGCGCCTCTCAGAGTAAGGACTCCAAAGCGCTTTACACTACAGTGTATTATTCATCCATTCACACACACATTCACACATTGGTGGTGATGAGCTACGATGAAGCCACAGCTGCCCTGGGGCGCACTAGCAGAGGCTGCCGAGCACAGGCGCCACCGGTCCCTCCGACCACCACCAGCAGGCAAGGTGGGTTAAGTGTCTTGCCCAAGGACACAACAGCAGAATTCTCTGTCCGGAGCCGGGATCGAACCTGCAACCTTCCGATTACTGGACAATCCGCTCAACCTGTTGAGCTACTGATGCTACTGCTGCCCTCCAATTTAACATTGGATCGTTTTTTTTTTTTTTTTTTTTTTTTTTTTTACTCTTGGCTTCTTCAACCAGCCCATGTGCACCCCATGAGCATGCACACTCCAAAACAAGATCTTGAGTTCTGGCCTTACTGTCATCACAAAGGCAGGATGTACAGTACCATATATGGACAGCACAGTGCAACGCCGCTATAGCCCGCACTGCTACTCTCACTGAAATGACGGCCAGAAAAGACGTTGTTTCAACTTTCATTTTGGAACTAGTTGTCTTAGAAAAAATGGTAATAATAGTTCATATTTTAAAATATCAAACTTTTATCAAACTAACGTAGTTTCAGCTGTCTTCAAGCACTCAAATGTTTGCTAGGTTTTAACACCATTTTCAGTGATAGAAATATTTTCAGTCAAAATGTGTCAAAGGGATACACGTGGAGGATCTGGGTTCGAATCAATGCTGGGTTATCAGATTGTCGGTTGGAGTTTTTGATTTTGATTTTTTCCATATTTTTTTTTTACAGTAATAAGATGCCCAAATTTATATTTTTAAACTTCCAAATGAGACGCGCTGAAAGACATTGAATTCACGGCCAGAAAAGACGTGGTTCAACTTTCATTTTGGAACTATTTTTCAACCATGACGGGACGTGTCATTTGGAATTGCAGTATGCCCAAGGAAGGTCCCGCCTTTCTCGCCGTTCTACGTTCACAGTTTCTTTACAAAACTCCCCAAAATAGCTTTTTGTTGGTGGCGGTGGCAGGGCAGTCTGCACTTAGCAAGGGAAGATGCTGGTTTGCTGCTAAATCAAATAGTCAATCGTAGTAGAGCCCTTCTAGCCAAGCAGATGCAAGAAAGACGGGATCTTCATTGGACTTCCTACGATTCCAAATGACGCGTCCGCCACATATTGCGTGTGCTCTCGCGAGAAAATATGTCCTTTACAAAAAAGGGTCGGAAATCACTTAAATTTATTTTTTCAATACAAATTATTTTTGTGGCCTAAAAGACTATATATGATGTATATATCCATGGTAGTAACAGGTGATGACTGAAGGTAAGCAGATCATCATTCTCGATAGTTAACAGGCTTCAGAAGAACTTGACAGGATTATTGTCAAGTCCTTCAATATTGTTGACAAGTTTGTTTTTCTTTGTAAACATATTATGGGACGTATTTAGCAAAAATAACCTTTTGCATCCTTTTGTGCTGCCACATGGGTCTCTGCTGCCTCCGTTATTACTCTGCATATGAAAAAAAACCCTCCATGCATTTTGTTTATTTGTTTGGTTTAAGAATTATGTGTCTAGAATCATGCCGTTTGAATAAGTCCCCATTTATGATGCTTTACAAATGGGGAAAGTAGCATTAAACCACCTCTCATGTGCATGAGAGACCTTAAGGTGCAGTGGCTCTACTCCAAGCCCCTCCCAGATATCGGAGCTTCTCAGCTTACAGCAACTCTAGTGGGGGATGGGTGGGCGTGGCCAGCTCCAGCTTGTTTTCTTAAAGTGACAGAGCCCTGAAACAGCTCATTCTATACTGAAAATGCTAATAATACAATTTCTGAAATCACAATATGTGAGAGATTTTGTGCAAATATCTTCATAAAACTGTTTTATATTGGCTGTAGAACTATTATAACTTCAGAATTTTTTTAAACATGTCCTCTTAAGAAGTACAATTTAATAAAATTGCAAGAAAACAAAGTTAGAAAAAAAGAGGTAAATAATGTGATTTTTTAGAGATCATGTACTTTATATATAAATGATAAAAGCCAATTAGTGAGAAGTAATTTACACAATCTTTAGTTTTGTTCATTCCCCAATGAAATAAACTGAGATTGTGTCAAATGAAAGAAAATTCTAAATAAGCGTAACACTGAATTTGCCCGCCTGGTCTAAGAGTTGAACTGGTAATGGAGAGACGGCAGATATGAAGAGTTGGGCATGGCGAGCAGCAGCAGCAGCAGCAGAGGTTACAGAGGGATGGAAAGATTGACAGGAAGACTGACAGGCTGTGAACAACGGGCAGGTTTCAGATGTCACTATGATGTTGATAAGATGGGCCTTAACAACAAGTTTTCCCTCTGCTGGTCTGAGAGTGAGTTTACCTCTTTTTGACTCCCCCCTCCCTGTCCAACTGCATGAACTTGGCTGGCCTCCCTTAACTCTAAGCAGTAGCTATCCATCTTAGCGGGTGCTGATTTGATTAGACCAGCCATTATTGATCGATTAAATCACAGGCTAGTCAGGAAGAGGAGGCCCGTTAGGACAGGGGCAGCCAGAGTTCAGCTAACTAGGCTGAATGTAACTAATACTGTAACAGTTTAACATGTGGTAATGCTGCTAATGTTTTACACAGAACTGATGCTTTGCTGATCCCTTTTTCACGCTGCTTTAGTGTTCATGAGGTATTTTCTCATAAGAAAAGTACAAGTCCCTCAACAATTGCTTTTGATTTGCGCTCACACGCCATGCAGTCTTGCGGCATTGGTATAATTGTGCAATCTCTTCCAAATCCCTAATTATTTCTGTCTCGTTTGGATAATAATCACGCACTTTACACACTTTGTATCGTAGTTTTGTTTCTTTTTTTCTCCTTCCGTCTCCCACTTTTTAAACGTTTCCCCCCTTTTTTTGTTTTTGTGATGCTCTGTGAGAGTTTGCTGTCAGATTTCAGTTCATACGAGCCTAATTAACGCCCCTGTTCAGGCTCATTTGGTCAAAGATTACAGAAAACTCAGAGTTTTTTTTCTTTATATCCACCCCCTTTACGGCACATTCAAAGCTATTCATTCAACTGTCACCGCAGGAGCCTGCGATGCAGAACCAATTACCTTGGCCCCTCTGAGTGGAGATTGATCGTTTTTTCCTCCCTCACATCTTCCCTCCCCAACCTTTAAAGTATAAAAAAAGAGAAAAACATGGTAAACTAAATAAGGGTTGAGAAAGGTCTCTGCGTCACCTTTTTGTTTTGAGTCTGTAATTGGGCATAAATGTCAGAACATTGTAAGCTCACTTCAGGTTGCTGCCTTTAATGTGCTCATATTTATGAAGGGGTGGGGGTGGAATTGAGTGGCTTAATGGTCCTAACAACATTATTATGTCTGCCTGTCCCTCTGCAGAGAATTAACCATTTCCCTGGCATGGGGGAAATCTGTCGCAAAGACTGCCTCGCAAGAAACATGTCCAAGTAAGTTTTTTCTCGTAACACACACATGTGACTATTTTGGATCAGTTGCAAAAAAACAAAAGCAACACAAGCATTTCAAAAACTGTTTCTACTCTAGAGGAACTAGGATTGTTGAAGGAAACCAAATATGGAGTTGTCATTTATCAGATTACATAGTTGTATTTTTAGTGCATGAGGACATGGGTTGTGCCATCTGGTAGTTATTTTTATTTATTATTACAGTAATAATAATTTTTTTCTCTTTTGAGTAGAGCGTTATGTTGGCTCTTATGCTATATATGTACTCGGTACATGTTAAAGTGTGGTTTACTGAAACTTTTTTTAATGATTATTTCTGATTATAATCGGTCACTCTGAGTTTAACACAGAGTCTGAACATGAAAATAGTCTCCTACACCTATCTCCTGCATTAGCTTCCGATAGAAAATAGACAGTGAAATGTTAGGTTTTGAAAAGCCTGACAGAGTGACATCACACTGTCATTTAACGTTCATGGACTCACTCATCTTGACTTGTAACGTGGAAGGCTGCTTTTTGTTTGGTGTCCAGGAAACAGCAGATAACGTCTTAGCCTAGTAGAAGCTAACTGTTAGCATTAGCAGTGGCAGAACTCCTCGAGGCTTATGCTATTTGTGGAGATAAAACATCACTGTTGCAAAGTGAACGGCATTGCTGTTAGCCAATCAGAGGTGAGATGTTCACATATCAGGAAGTAAGACTTCAGATCCTGCTGTCTGAAGCTCTTCTTGATCTGGCAGTCTTCTAGATCCTGAAGCAGGCACTCCGGGTCTTTTTGTACCCAGAGTAACTTACAAGGCCTTCATTCCTACTAGAGACAACTGCAAATGTATTGATTAAATGAGTGTAGCACACCTTTAAAGAAAAAAAACTACAAATTTAAATTATAATAAGAAAGAAGTTAAGACTTTTTCCGTTGCACTAAATGCACGTCAGACAACATTATTGAAGTATTTTTTCTAAAAATATGTTTTAGACCAAAGTATGACTGCATGATCACATTTTCCTTTCCTTTTCATTGTAGAATGATCAAGTGCCAGCCTCAGGAGTACAGCTTCATACCTAAAACTTGGATCTTCCCTGCTGAGTACACCCAGTTCCAGAACTATGTCAAAGAGCTACGCAGGAAACGCAAGCAGAAGACCTTTATAGTAAAGCCTGCCAACGGCGCTATGGGTCATGGGTATGTCAGAAGCCATTGAGTCTACCAGAGTAATCTATACACATTGACTGGCAGTGGGGAAAAGGGGAAAAGAGGGAAGACAACAAAGAAGGGAGGAGGGAGTGAATTAGCTGCAGAGCAAATAGAAGGCGAGCACAACAAAAACAAAATCATAAGAGGTTTGTGACCCTGGCAAGAGTGTCTGTGGAAATGGTATGATGGCTGGTACCAGATTGAGAATTAGAGCACAGAGGGTGGGTTGAATCTCATTGTGGGCCTCATTGTCCTCGATGGTCACACTGTCCATAAATCAGAGGTTATCGCTGCTAGTGGGGGACGCGCACACACACACACACGCACACACGCGCACACACACGCACACGCACACACGCGCACACACACGCGCACGCGCACGCACGCACACACACACACACACACACACACACACACACACACACACACACACACACACACACACACACACACACACACACACACACAGGGTCCCTGGCAGTTACTGTAGCTCCCTTCCCTCAAGGTCTCTGCATGTGATTATTGGATTCCTTTATGAGGCACCATCAGCAGAGACCAGTCAGACTAGAAAATGGACAAAGATGGCTGCTGCAGGGGACTCTGTCTCTCAATGGCATCTTTTTATCAAAAGATGAGCTGGCTGTCGTACCTGAATGCATATTTCATACTTGCACTCTCCCAAGGGGTAAGAGCAACCCCAAATTGTGATGTCACATTTCCATTGTGTATTTTGGCTCCCTGAAAGCTGAAATCATGAAGCATTTATCCATTTTCTTTATTCCTGAATTCAACGACTGGCCTTTTGTACATATAGGCGAGGTCCCAGCAGTGCCAGAGATTCAACTGAGTAACAGAATAACTTTCAAGGCAGTGAAATGTTTGTGTTATATCTTTAGAGTTAATTTAAAACTTCTTTTATTAGTTTTTAAATCATTACACAGTCTTGCTCCGTCCCACCTCTCTGAGCTGCTGCATATACAATCCTCGTCTCAGTCACTGAGGTCATCAGACCAGCTGGTCCAGGATGTACTGAGGACAGAGTCGTTGTTTACGGTTCAAAACTGTAGAACTCTTTGGCACCACATTTAGGAAAAGTCTTTTTTCTAGGAACTTTTAAAATTGTTAAAGACCCACCATTTTAGTTTGGCTTTGAACTCAGTTTAGGCTTTTTGCATTTGATTGAGCTTTTCACGATTTAGTGTTTTTAATTTTTTTTAAACTTTATTTATGCTTTTATTGTTGTTTAATGTTTGTTGATATCTAGGGTCATTGCTAATGTGGCAAGGTGGAGAAACAAGGGCCCAGGTGGGATTCGATCCCCAGACTCCCGGGTTAGAGTCACTCTCGCTAACCAGTCAGCCAAAGGGACATCCCCGTGGCCAAGTATCCAGAGCGCATGATCAATCGGGATACAGTGACAGGACGCTTACCCTGTCACACTAATATTTCAGTTTTTTTAAGGTGCTCCTAATCCAGTCCAGTCAATTTCAATTCAATTCAATTCAGTCCAGTCCAATTCAGTCCAATTTTATTTTTAAATAACCTGTATCTACCTGCCTTCTATGGTTCTACATCCCCCTAAGGTCATTTACCCATGCACACACACATTCACACGCTGGTGATGTTAAACTACAATGTAGCCACAGCTGCCCTGGGGTTTACTGACAGAAGCGAGGCTGCTGTACATAGGTGCCACTATTCCCTCCTAACTCCACCAGCAAAGTGGGTAGAGGTTACCTCTCAGTTGCCTAGTAGAGGGTCCACCCTGGTACTGGGAGATCGGGGTTCAAATCCCAGTCAGGTCATACCAAAGATCTTAACAATGGGACCCAATGCCTCCCTGCTTGACTCTCAGCTTTAACCACGTGGCAGGGGTGAGGTGGTGCTCACTCCTCACCCCTGCCACATGGATCCAAGGGATAAACCATCAACCCTGCTCAGTGGTCTACTTTCCTCACGGGGTCACACCCATTAGGACAGTGGGAGGGTTAAGAGGTTGGATTGGGGGTTAAACCACCAAATAGTTCCTGAACGCAGCCACAGCTGCAGCTCACTGCTCCCCACGGAGGTGGCTCAAATGCAATTTACCAGTGTGTGATAAATTAATGGGACTTTAAAATGTCTTGCTCAAGGACACGACTACAACAGAAGGGACACGAACCTGCAACCCTTCGGTTACCGGGCAGGCACTTAACTCCTCTTCACCTTAAAAAAACAGGGATGACCAAAGTGCTTTAAATTAATATATGTTACGAACGAGTATGTGTGACAGCATTTGTACAATTTAAAGCGGAGATAAAACATGAATTAAAGCAAAGAGATGGGCAGATTCATAAAAAACATGCAAGCAATCAAAACAATGTTAGAGCTGACTGTCGTCCAGAAAATGAACAGAGTTACTCACTCACATGTATTGTTAAAAGGAACTCGGGCTTTGAGGACACGTATGCCCTAATAAGTCACACATTTTCTGTTGTACCAAACTATGTTGTTAGAAACACCCAAAATGTTGCTGTTTATTTATAAATCTATAATACCGGTATGTAGTACATTTTTTGACATACGTACAGTAGGACGCCATGTTTTCCTCACGCAATGCACTCTGGGGGCGATGACGTATATTGGTTGCTCTTGGTAGAATAGCTATTGATGCTTGTTTACGCGCTCACCGTATTAATAATTGAGTAAAATGCAGCATTGTGCTGCTTTTGGATGTAATTTCCACTCAGAGGGCAACAAGGGGAGCGATGTGAGTTTACACAGCTTTCCCACTGGCAAGAAGAGGAGAAAGCAGTGGGAAGATGCCTGTGGATGGACACAACTTCCCAAAGGTCCGCGGCTGTGTTCCCGACATTTTTCTCCTGATGCGTTTGAGGCTTATAGTCAACCACAACTACTTAAAGAGCTCACCAGAGCTGCTGGGTATAAGAGAAGGCGGAAAGTAAATGCTTTACCGACCATTTTCCCACACAAGGAGCCTAAACGTCCTCGGAGAGACAAGAGACTCCGGACGCTTTCCTGAGCCGACAACCCGCTCCTGCAGCTGCCGCTTCTGTCACGTTCAGCGAACCATCGGACACGCCACTCGTCACGGATGAAGCTGAAAATTCACCTCTCCCGTCAGTAAAACAAGCAGTAAGTGCAGCAATACAGTGTTCTCCAAATATATAATATCTTCAAAAATTATTAAAGTCGTTCCACTGAGTATCCTAATCATCTATGAAGCACACGACAGCTCTGGATGCTAATATTCTCCTAAATCATTCATAATTGAAAATGTTTGATCACACAATAGCTTACCTTTAACTTCTGCTGACAAAAATGTGAGCTCTTGACAACAAACACTCTCCCTCTGGGTTACCACGGAGACACATTTGCCGCACACGCACCGGTTTTGTCCTGCACTCACTTCATGCCGCCCTTCTTGCGCTTCATTTTGAAGCTGGTTTTGTGAAACATCGTCAGTGTTGTCCTCATTAATGTTTCACTCTGGTTCAAATTGAAATGGCTGAACAGATGACATGTTGATGTCGCTGAACAGTCACTACAGGGTCCCAAAGCCAGCCGGTGCAACCAAATGACGTCACTACCCAGAGTGCATTGCAACGCTAACAACAATGGCGACCTACGAGTTAAACTATTTTTGCACATTTTATAAAGATGAAGACACTCAGAAGTTTATTTTTTACACCATTTTAATATAACTTATACTAACATTTATCTTTTAAGAACCACTGAGTTTAGTAACCTGGGTTCCTTTTAAGAAAACTGAACATAACAACCTTCTGTAAGTGTAGGAGCTTTTGATTTAGTGTCAGTGACTTGGATATTGATTATGGAACTATTTATTATAGATTATGAAGCTCTTTTACTTAAGATAAAAACAGGATGAGAGTTGGCTATCCAGTTAGAGCCCCCCACAGCATTTGGCAGTTTCACTGGCTGAGAACAATAAAGCAGTGATGCACCACCAAGGAAATAAACTTAGTTTCATTGTTTTGCCATAAAAAAGTTGACCTTTTAATGGAAACTTGTATTTTAATATTTTTTTTAGCAGATTCTAATATGTAATTTGGTGCATATTCTGATGTATTTAGGTAAAAGTGTTCTTCATGGTAACACTAAAGTGAGTGAAAATTAGTTTTGGCCAAAATAATCTCTTGAGGACCCCACAATTTGATGAAATAGTTATTAAGTGTTTTTATTTATTTATTTTTTGTTGTTGTCCTATTCTTTGGAAATCTGATATCTGAAGTGTTTGCAGTATTTTGAACACTTTGACTTAATCACTGGCACCAATAGGTGGGGATATTGAAGTACAAAAAGCTGAGCGAGCCTCATCTCTCCCTCTACTTCTCTTAGAATTTGTCCTTTCTGGTATAATGTGAGCATTACTTAGAACCCTGTGCTGCACTAAGCCCTTATTTATTGAAGAATAAAGGCTGAATTATTGCAATACATTAAGAATATGAAAGATGATGAGTTTCGCTCGACCACTCAGTGGCAGGCGGCTCGCAAAATTAGATTTTCTCCTGCTTTTTTTCTCCGTGGTGTGACGCGGCAGGAAATTAAGTTATATCTACCCTCTGTAATTTATTTTTCTGTCGGCCCACTAAATGAAGTTATTGTTTATGTCTGAAGCCCTAGCTTGTTATAACAAAAACAAAATAAAAGTGCGTGCAGAGCTTAAGAAGGCAAGCTCCCCTCCAGTGTCAAATTAAATAGGCAGAGGGAAGTGGGCTGTGATTATCTGACACCTCAGCTCATCAATCATGCCGTCTTCTCCTCAGCTACTCCAGCTCTAGTAACTAACGTGGTTAACCCTGTCCTCATCACTCAGCCAGCTGTCAGCCTGTTAAAAGGGGCCCTCACATCGCCGGTCAGGCCACTAACAACTTCTCCCGGCTCTTTTGCGTTTGACTACAGTGATAAGCGGCTCAGCTCGGTGCTCATCTTCAGTAGAGCAGTCACTCAGTTGGCATCATGAACTCATGAGTGTGTTTTGTTCTAAGAAACACCTGATTTCATTCTAAACAAATGTCCTGCATCTATATAAATCATTCTTTGAGATAAGTGAGTTGTATATTTTTAGTCATTACGGGTAATTTGAGAAAAAGAGTGATTTGGTTAAGTCAGGGCAAAATAAAGCACATGGTTCAAAGATGAGCTCCAGGAGCTATAATGTCCCCTCTGATGTCTCAGTGTCACAAACTGAACGTATTGAGCAGACAAGTCTGCACATCTTGATCTTGTCTGTTTGTGTGTGTGTGTGTGTGTGTGTGTGTGTGTGTTGTTCCTGCTCCTGCCTGCATGAACGGTGCCGGCCAGGCTGTGTGCATGCAACCAATTTAGCCCAAGTCAGCCTTAACTATGAGTGATGGTGATATAGGTCAGTTGAACTGCTTGTGCATAGTGGAAGATTGTTTAGAAGTGGCCCCCACACCGTCCCTGCACATGTACCCCCCCCCCCCCCCCCCCCCCACATGCAGACCTTCCAGCACACAGCTTTAAAAACAAAACAACTTTCCCTCCCATTTGCACCGCCACATGGATGTCCACAAACTAACCCAGCTCATTCTTTATCCCAGCTCACGATGGTCTGTGTACTATAAGACCTGAGGGCCGGTGACAGGAGACCAAAGCAAATGAATTAGAGTGGGGGTTGAAATGGAGCCATGTCTGCTCTGGTTAACCTGTGCATAGGTTACAGACCCTACCAGAGGAGCTGGTGCACTGTGCCACTCAGATAGGACAAAACTCATAATGTGCTCCAGACTCAAACCATTTCAAACATTTTTACGGTATTTTCTACTCCACAGAAGCAAACAAATCACATCTTTTAAAGCAGACTAGAGGCAATTGAGTTGATTTCATTAGTTGCTTAGAAGGTCATGTGAGCGCCATGACTCTGACCTTTTAACCTCTTTAGGCTACATATCTTTAATCTGAGATTTAAGGATCATTGTCTGCACAGTGAGGACATATTTCAATCTTCTCTCCCTATCGATGCATCCAGCGCTTGTGTAATTTATGGTTATTATCCATTAAGTGTTAAAATAAGAAGATTGGTAGGGCAAAGTTAAATTTGGGATGGGCAGAGTTAGCACATCAGAAATACGTCCCCAACTTTTTAGAGATGACTTCCAAAGGAATTATTGTAATGAAACATAAAATCTTGTTTGCCTCAATTTTAGGCTTCGACATGAATATAAGACAGCGCCAAAGTCATCAGTCTTGTTCATGGTCTCTGCTATGCTTCCATCCATCATTTTTTTTTAATTATCTTTTTTTTTTTTGTCTTTATCATTCCATATTTTATTATGCGTCCATAATTTCACCCCCGAGGATTAATAAAGTCTCTCTCGATGCAGGATCTCGCTTATCCGTAACTGCGAGAAGCTACCAGCCCAGGAGCACTTTATTGTTCAGGAGTACCTGGACAAGCCGTTCCTGATGGAGGGCTACAAGTTTGACCTGCGTATCTACATTCTGGTCACTTCCTGCGACCCACTTCGCATTTTCCTGTACAACGACGGCCTTGTTCGCATGGGCACGGAGAAGTACCACGCGCCCAGTGAGGCCAACCTGGTGAGTCACTGATGATGGCACATTTTAGATGAATGCTGGAGCCTTTGTTTCTAAAGTAACAACAGCCCATTAATCCCTCTTTGTGCCAATATGTTGGTATACATCAGAGTAAAATCACAGGTATAAAGCTGATATTGCTTTCAGTTGCATCTATTGCTCAGTGGGGTTTTATAGGAGACAGAAATGCTGAAAAACAACTACTGGGAAAGATTCATCTACAAATGATCACAAAACATAGATTTACTTTCACACACAGTCAGCAGAGCACAATTGCAAGCAGCGTCAGTTTAGGGCCAATATTGTTCCCCCCACACACACACATTCGGTGTGCACACACACTGTACACACAAAACTGAGTGAAAATATCCACACACCAGATGTATCTCGTGATATCAAACCATCCATATTTGCCTTGAGGTTCTGCACCTGCTGAGGCACAAACTGTTGCAGATAAGGGGATGTACACACACAGCTTCTTATCAAGCATGATGTGTGCTAAAATATTTCAAACACACACACACACACACACACACACACACACACACACACACACACACACACACACACACACACACACACACACACACACACACACACGGAAATACGCGGTGGACTATTTCTGAGACAAAAGTAGTTTAACTGAATGTGTCCTACATGCTGATGAATGTTAAGTTCCTGACAGAGTGATCCCCAGACAGCCATCAGGTGCTGCAGGAGTTTGCAAACATAAGTTGGTCAAAGGACAAGGAGGCATTGACTTCAAATGTTATTTAGTGAATAGTTACTGTCAAACATTCAGTGATGTATCTGAGCTAGTTCTTCACTAGGCTGTGATGTTAGGGGCTATGTGAGGACTCACAATCGTAAGAAATTACAACTTTCCAGTTTGAACCACACAGATTTGTGTGATTTTTACATGTTGGCAGGTCAAATGAGGCATTTATCGTTGATGCAAACAAACTGTGACAATTTCTTTTTCTCAATTTAGCTGCATTTCATTAGCATTTGGGTCACCATCACTTGTTTTCCCAAAGCTGTTGCACATTTCCTGCACTTTCTGACCCACTGGAACAAAATTCAAAAGGTTCCAAAAGCCAGAAACATCTCTGTGACAAGTTTCAAAGGAAATCTGTCATGCATGTTTTCTGAACATATTCATGCTTCCATAAAGCTAGCCCCCTGCCATTTGTGTGAAAAAAGGCAAGTTGCAGCCTCGTGCATTTACTGGGTTGGACACCATAGATTTCTCTCTTGTTTAATGATTTTGGTGCTTACTTATTAAAAAGAATGTATAAAAAAAATATATAAATACTGATTAGCAATCTAATTTTTTGCAGCAGTTTTTTAGATGGTCTTTGTCAAGCAATCTATTTATTGTTGGTATTTTGGTTTGGCAGAGCAGATGTTGCCTTTGGCTATAAAAGCTAACCGACCTTCACCAGTTTCTAATCTGTTTATCACTCATGTGTTAATTGACAAAATAATTTCAAATAAATCAAAATTAAAGTAGTATTTGCTGGCAAAATTTTATTTTTTTAAAACTGCTTTTAAGGTTTTGGGTTCAGACATAACCTGTGCCTTGTCATTGACTCAGGATGCTACCAGCTGCTATCACCAGAAGAAAAGAGAGAGTTCAGGATTTTGCAGAGCTCTGACTTTAAAAAAAAATCTTTTTGGTTGCAAACATGCCATGACAGTGGGGCATGGATTCCCCTTCACAAACAACCAACCACCCTAGAGGCAAACCAGTCTGACTTTTAAAGCTACCATTAAGAATTGGGCAGGGACAACAGTCAGCGTGAAATCCTTGAAATTAAAACAATCTATTTACATATTTACATCCTAACTTAACTCAAAAGAACAAAAACAACAACTGCACTTAAATAAATACAGGTAAACGTCCTCTCCCCTCCCTCTCTCTTTAGTCAGTTGGCTTCTCCCTCAGTAGAGCTGATTAAGCACACCAGGAAATGATCAGGTCTGCCTCTGGGCGCGCTTCCATGGCAACACTTAAACAATTGACCTCAGAAGGAAAGGAGTGATGATCACCACTAAATCAACTTTAACTTAAAGTAATTTATAGATTACCAAGCTTCATTTGACTCAAAATACACCCAAAAAATATAGGATTAAACAGAAACAGAAGAAATGATTTTTAGTGAGGGCATAAATCCCCCACACTGCTGCTCTGCCTTTAATGATCGGTGGAACAATGTGATGCTGAATAATGAATGAATTGTGCTTTTTTTTTTTGTCAAATTATTGTTACAAACTGGAGAAAGCAAGGTTAAATTCCTTGTTAGCTTTAAAAAAATGAATAAAAATGTACTTTACAAATCCAGAAACAAGAATTCCCTCTACTACAAGTAGGATTCCAGATTTAATTTTGTCAAATTTTGTAAAAAGAAATTTGTTGCTTCTAAAATAGACTTCTGATTCAGCCTGGTCAAACCGTCTGGTGTTTTCTCCCTAGTATAAGCGAGACTGATAAATCTGTATTAATTAAATCTTGTTCAACACATTTAGCGTCTTGTTCCTCATTCCGTCCCAGTGAAGATGATTTGGCTCACCCATAAAACCCTTTTTGGGCCTGTTTGTCTCCTCAGAGCCAGCTCTACATGCATCTGACAAACTACTCAGTCAACAAACACAATGAGAACTTTGAGCGAGACGAGACGGTGGACAAAGGCAGCAAGAGGTCCATCAGCTGGTTCACGGAGTTCCTCCGCACTAGTGACTACGACGTGGCCAAGTTCTGGGGAGACATCTCGGTACGTGTCATCCACAGACACACATCTGTGCCGCTTTCGATGTGTGCTCTCACAAAAAGAGATATTCATTACGATACGAAAATCCGCTCCACAAATGCAAGCAGTATTTTTCCAAATGTCACCCTTTATACACACAAGTTGTTCATACACACTAGAGACAATACACTAGCGGACCAGTTAGGAATTTAGATATGATTTGTTATGACAGTGATTCAGGAAGTTTGTGTAAATCCAGCAACAGCTCAGAAGAAACAACATTCCTGGAGGGTGAGCTGCTTCTTTCTAGATCTACTCTGAGCTCATCCACCCTCCCCCCCAAAAGCTCCATCTCTCCCTGTCATGGGCCTTTTTGTCTGAGTTGTTCCTTTTCTGTTTCAGCCAACTCTTCAGAGTTCTGTTCTTGTTTTCTCCATCTTATCCACCTTTGCTTTGACTCGCCGTCCTCATTCACGTGTTGCTCCTCGGTGCTTTGTCTCTGCTCTAATGCTGACTGCTGAACTGCACACGCATTTAAAATAAAATCTCTTTTCACAAGACAAATTAGAATAATTATTTTTTTTATTTACTTTAGGGTTTTTGTTTGGTGGTTTTCCTGCTGGGCTAAGTTGCCATTTAAGCTGTCATTCCTTACATCTCCCTGTTTCTCTCAGATCTTTTGGAGCTCTACTGACCCTTGAGTGTCACCTTTTGACTGAACCAGAGCATCCAGGCCCGTCTCTCAACAGTTCTTTTTCTCTACACTTTCCTGTGAAGCAGCACTTTGCTGTTTGTTTCACGCTAACTTTTATTTTAACTTCCCTCAATCTCCTATTCAACATGCGTTAGCTGACAGTGGTCAGAGCCAGAGAATCGTAGTTTGTTTGCCAGAGGACTGCGGAGGGACTTAGAATATGCATTTTTTTATGATGAATACTGACATCTCTTTCATGTGGATCTGGGTATTGATGTGCTGAATTTAGCCAAGATCTGAGCAGCAAAACTGCAACTTTTCAATTATTATTATTTTTATTTATTTGCTATGCACACAGTAACACAGAGGCACAAACTCTTGCAGTTTAGGGTTTTGCCAAAGTTTACAGACATGGCTTATTGCAGCAGGATGCAGCTGCTCTAATAAACCCATCATTACAGGGTATCCGCGGGTTCTTAAAAAGTCTTAAATTTGCTTTTCCAAATTTAAGGCCTTGAAAATCCTTCAAAATGACAAATAATCCTTAAATCCAGTTTCCAAAGGTCTTAAATTACCAAAGACCCAATAAACAAGATTATTTTATTTCTATAACAATTTTCGTGAATTTCTAGTTGGTGTTCAGCATTTTTTGTGTACGATGTTGGCGTAAGCGGAACCGTACACATTCAGTTGGTTGTGAAAGGGGGCTATTTTTAGATGAGCACATTAGCTGGTTAAGCTAGTGGGAGCTTGCGCCATGGGGAAGTGCAAGTTTAATGGTAACTGGATGGCTAATCCCACGTTCACGACGTGGTTAGCACCGTTTCCAGGCAATAGCTGGAAATTATAGCCTAAATTTAATTTTAGAAATAGCTTAAATTTGGTCAAAGTGGCCTTAAAAAAGGTCTTAAAAAGTCTTAAATTTGGCTCCCTTAAACCTGCAGATACCCTGCATTAGCTTCTAGTTTAAGGTGTGATCTGTTATGTGCCATCTAAAATAAAAGCTTACCAAACAACAGGGGTCTCGTGCACGCCCCCAACAAGGTAAAAATGGCCTCGGTCAGAATGTTTGCTTGTCGAGGTGTGCATGCTGGCTCCATTGAAGAGGAGCGCTTTTTATAAGACTGTAATGTAGAGGGATACAATAATTCATCAACGTTTGTAACGTTAGAGGACAGCAGGAGCTCAGGAGGTAGAGAGGGTTGTCCAGCAATCGGAAGGTTGCAGGTTTGATCCCGGCTCTGACCAGAGAATGCTGCTGTTGTGTCCTTAACCCACTTTGCCTGCTGGTGGTGGTCGGAGGGACTGGTGGCGCCAGTGTTCAGCAGCTGCAGCTACATCGTAGCTCATCCCCACCAGCGCCTGAATGGGTGGATGACCGATTGTGTTATGAAGTGCCTTGGGGGGTTGTAGAGCCCTAAGAAGGCTCTATACAAATACAGGCCATTTACCCTTGTGCTAAAGGTAATAAAATCACCATCATTGCAGTTGTTGCTACATCTATAAACACAAGTAACTTCCTGTTAGCAGCTAACGAGAGGTAATTACTCACAGAGGCGACTGCCCCCTTTCATTTTCCCCCACAGTGCGCTGCTTTTTAAGGTGTTCATGCATCACCGTTGTGCTGAAAGGAGAGTAGTACTTAGCAGAATTTGCTTGTACGTGCTTCTCTTTTATTTTAGTAAAAATGTTCCTTGAGCTACATTCCCGGTGACGAGACTGCTCACCTGGATGGCCTACTGCGCATGTGCCTCTAGCAGAAAGCAGCAGAAGGCAAGATGAAAAGAAAACATGTTTTTATTTGACATATTTAGTAAAACTTTTACTTTTCTGCAACAACCAACATTTTAAAACATTTTCTTTATACAAAGCATCAAGACAAGGCTTAAAAAAAGAAAATAGTCTCAGAATTTGATTTATTATTCATCTTCATCCCACAGCACAAGATAACTTCAGACGATTTGGGTGTTTTTGTGTGTAAGGTCACAATGATTGATGACAATAAGTTGGTGGAGGAGGCAAATGTCGTCCGACGTTCCCTAATGAGAGTGTAAGAGGACTTCTGCTACCTAAAATAAATTTTCCGACTGATAATGATATTCAAAACAAACGAAAAGAAAAAGATTTAGAGATTCACTGAAGCTCAGAAATAAAACACACCTAGAAACTAGAATTGCTAAACAGCAGTCAGTGCCGGCAGCTCTCGATGAGTAAAGGTGATGCGAGCAAGGACAAAGGAGACGCACACATACACACACATGGACACACGCACGCAAAGAGAATCACTGGCGAGGACTTGGGACATAGACATGGTAGGGGGACCAGGTGATGGGGGCTGAGTAGCCTGTGGGTCAGACAGTAGATGGCTTGACATAGGTAGAGGTGTGTGAGCAAAGGAGTGGGGGGGTGCAGCCTTATCAGGCACGGGCCAGACCACCTTTACCCCTCCCATGCACCCAGCAGTCAAACTGAACTGGGCAAAACTGCAGCCCTGCAGCCCAGCGTGGTGCTTGTCTGGTAAAGGGAAGCTCTGTGCAAAGAATCTGTGTGTGTGTGTGTGTGTGTGTGTGTGTGTGTGTCTCAGACTGAGCATTGCCACATTTGCGCAGTGGTGTAGTCTAGTTTGGTAGCAGCCAGCAAACATTCATGCAAACACAGATGCACGCAGGTTGGGCGCCACGAGCAACACAGATGGAACGCCACCAACACGGGTGAAAGTCTGTGCTTGAAGGAAATTGGGAGCACTCCGCTCCAGTAATGGTTTGTGGTTCTCAACTGGTGGTAAACAGACAGTCACTAAAAAGAGTTGTGGATTGATATTGACTTTGGATTAATTGGATGCCTCTCTTTGTGGAGACTGTGTTCTGTGTACTTATTGTCCTACTCCTAAATCTGAAGTCATCGTTGTTTGTTCACAGGAACAAAAATGATGAATAAAAACCTTTATCAGCAGCTAGACAGCAGTCAGACCAAGTGGTTCCACTGTGTCAAATAAAATAATGAGCTGGTTAAATGATATAAATGTAGTTAAAAATATGTTTACACACTTACATATCCAAATATAATTGTTTTGTGCCTGTCTTCTGCCAGGAATTGGTGGTGAAAACGCTGATCGTGGCTGAGCCTCATGTGCTGCACGCCTACCGCATGTGCCGCCCCGGACAGCCACCAGGGAGCGACAGTGTCTGCTTTGAGGTCTTGGGCTTTGACATCATCCTGGACCGTAAACTCAAGCCCTGGCTGCTGGAGGTACACGTCTGGATGTCTATGTTTGAGCACATTTCCTGGAGTTTCATGTTTTGTTTTTTTAACTTAATTTTCACCCACGGGTATCTAAAATAAATCTATTATCTTTTGAAAAGCGTTCTACACAACACCTATCTTATAAAATATGAAATTTTCATTTTAAAGCATTTTTAATCAATCTTTATTAATTTTTTAATATAAGCTTAATGCAGTCCCACCTGTTTCTATGGAAGTCACAGCAGCTCCTCCACCAAACTACCGTGCCACAAGCAGTACAGAAACACAGAAGAGACCGTAAACACACACACACTTTACTTAAACACTCTTGTCCCCGTACACAGCACCCACAACGTATCTAACATCTAATTATGATTCTTCAAATACGTGAGAGATATCCTTGTAAAATGAAAGCAATACACACAATTACATGTGCATTCAAATATACCCAAACATAAAAACATATAAAAATGCATGTTTACACTGGAGCATAAAGCAGACATAACTCGTGTATCCAGGATGCGAGAATATAGGTCAGGGTTGCAGGTCGACCAACAAGAGCAGCTCCTCGTTTCTTCAGCGCTTGTCTCTCAAGTGTCAGTGTGTTTGGAGACGGATGGAAGTCCACTCCAGGATTTCTGTCTCGTTTTTCTGATGTCAGCCAGTCAGTTAAAATGTGACCTAAATCCTTTAACCAAAAGTGGCTACACCCCTCCCTCCCTCCCTCCCTCCCCCCTTCCACCCTTTCCACAAATTGACTCAAAAATGGGAAAAGCTGCAGGAAAAAAAGAACTAGTTTGTTTTTCCTCATCATGCCATCCTGAAATAACATCTTTTAAAAGTCTAATTTGGGTTTAAAGTAACATTATGTTTGAAATTTGTTTTGTTCAGCTTCAAAATGTTTCCAGGTGTTTGTAGAATTACCGTAGACTTTTTTTGAATATTAAAGCTTCTTTCTTGCAGAGAAGCTGCGGCTTAAATCAAAACCAAAGTACAAGAAAAAAGACTGCTCGTTCCGACTGCAAGTGCACC